GAAGCAGCAGCTTGGGGCACAAAATTGCAAAGCAGGAGAAGAAGCATCCTCGAGCAGAGTCAAAGAATAGCGCTCCTGAGAACGNGCTGTGTGACAGGGAAAACCGTTGGCTAAGGTCCGGGGGCCGTGAGTCGGTTGATTCCACAGAGGCCGAAGGTACTGGAGTGCAGCAATTAGCCGAGGGGCAGCAGTTGGCGTTAATGGCTAAGTCGGCTGAGTATGAACGCGACATCAGGCTAATGCTGCGAGTTCTCTTGCTGTCGTCGATCCATTAGTGATAGCTCGTCGAGCGACGAGTCTGGTGTCGTTGTTGGATGTCGTTGATTATTAGTGATATGTGAGATCTCGTCGTGTTGACGAGTCTCCTTCCAGCGAGGCAGTGCCCCTGCTTGTATAGGGAAGAGCTCTACTCTGGATGCAGAGTGGAGGGTGAGAACAGTCCATAAGTCGTAGTGGCATCTAGCGTATCGTGGAAACTAACTAGTGGCCACTACATATTACTTACGTTTCTGACCTCGCCTAACCCCGATAATCAAATTCAACTCCAAATTATGTATTCATTCCAACTACTCCTTCCCAAATCTTCCTACTCCTACACTCCCGAAGGGGTGCGAGCCTGCAGTCGAAGTAGCCAGACGTCACCTTTGGGTCTATCATATCACATTTAACACACCACTTATTTTGTTGCTGATGATCTATCTGCCTAGTGGACGAATTTTTGCAGATAAAGATTAATACATGTTGCTTTTACTAGTAGAAATTTTAAGACTACACCAAGTACTTTAAATACATCTTACAACTCTTCACAAACATGTCATACAGAGGAAAAATATTTGCCGAGGGAGCGTGCGGAACTTCCTAATTAAACACATTATTTGAAGCACTTACAAGAAATGAAGAAAGTTTCCCCGTGATTATGAATCGCGAAGTAAATCAATCTTACTTTCCTCCTACTCGGAGCATTCACTTAATCCGTTAAGTTTTAATTGATTTCCACATGAATATACAACACGTGTTATGCGTTAATTTCCGGGCTGTCCTTACATCGGCGAGAAGGAAAACATGGATACAACCTCGTTTATCATAAAGGGAAGGGCATTAAAGGGATTTTATTGTCGCTTTGTCCCGAGGACCCACCTCTCGCTGAACCTTTGTGGTCGATCGTAAATAAACCCTGGCGTATGTGGGTTAAATCTCTTTCGAGATGAATTCATAACTCGTGATGAGTTCAATCTCGGCCTAATGCGGAGGGACAAGTTCGAAACAAATCCAATTCTTTCTCTTTCCTCCGATAACAATTTCATATTCTAATTCGTTACATTCTTTCGTTCTTTCCATATTACCAATCGTCCAAAAACAGAAGTGCACTGACTATGGATCCATTTGGATATGGGGGTATGCCAGGAATTGTTAGACAACACTACAATTTCTATCGGCCCTGTCAATTTCTTACCAGTATTTATGAGGATTTCCTTCTTCCCAATTTTATTGTTTATCATATATGAGATCCCCTAAGATTCATGGATTGCCGTAAGGCTAAAAAGGCTTTCTTGATCAATAAACGCAATATGCGTTTGAAGTTGAAAATTCAGACTTTTTCGATCAGATATTTCATAATTATGCTAAAAATCACTACAGGATCCCTTTCTAAAACAAGATGCTCTTCATTAAAAAAACTTCAGGTATGATCAGATAAATTGGTCATTGTACGATTGTACAGTTTATAAGATTCAGAAGAACACATGATAATTTTTGTACTCATCTCTCTCACCTATCTTAAAGCCAGGAACACACTTACCCGATGCTACCCGACGCCTTGCCACGTTTTGGTGGGGTGTGCACATCTATCTGACGCAAGCACACGTCGCGTACAGTCCACAGCGTTTATCACAATAATCACTATCACAATCGCAACGCATCTTTTGTTCTTAATGCACTATTTTGAGCAAAACCTTGTAATAAATTGTTAGTTAAATCTTAAGAACACAGCCATCTAATAAATTGTTTCTTAAACTTATTTGTTTTAAACAAACATATTAAATTCACTAGTTTCGTGGTCCGCTTGGACAATTAATATCTTTCAATTAATTAAGCTTTTTAGTTGAGATAAAAAAGTCAGTGTGGGGATTCGAACCCACGATCTTCGGCTAGATACTCAGCTGCTCTACCACTTGACCTATCGTGATTCGTACGACGTGTACTTTCGTCGGATAGATGTGCACACCCCACCAAAACGTGGCAAGGCGTCGGGTAGCATCGGGCTGTGTGTTTCTGGCTTAAGAATTTTAAGTCAAATGGAAAGGCTGTGATTTCATTAGGCAACAATGCTACAATACTGTACGAATTGTCAGCCGGTCCAGATGAATGTGAGTGACTTTCTTTTTTCTACCAGGTGCTTTTTCTTTGCCAAACGGTCCATAAGTGTGTATGCAGGACTGGAAATGTCTGTTTCGATTCTAGAAATAAACTTCTCGTCTTTCTACTATTACTGAAGCAAAGGTTTTGTCATCGGCCATGTATGCTAAAATCGTTACGACTTCGGACTCGGGGAATTGTAAAATTGAAACTCATGTTGTAAATTATACAAAGCACCTTTTTTATATCAAACAGCATACATTGAATTTGAACAACTTATTTGCAAAACCGGTTGGACGACGCTGCTTTTAACGTGGATCCAAGGAATCAATTTCATCAACAAATCTCTTTTTGTTCTAAAGTTATTTTACGGGCGAACGTTTTTAACAATACAAAATCCAACACGATACGCATGACATAAATTGGGAATTGTAAAAAATGTAGATAATTCCTAAAATAATCCTGCATTGTATTTTTACTGTAAACTTCATTCGTTCTTCACTGGAGGTGGTGAAAAAGGGTTTCTTGACCGGAGTAAGAATCCAGGATGATCAGACATGATTAAACCACATTTCGCGTCTAACCATATTACATATTATCAATACAATGCCTAAATCAAAAATTGCATAATGAATCCTTGCTCTAGAATTAAATACTACGAACATAAAAGTAGAAACAATAGTTCTATGATAGTTTCATTGTCATATAAGTGCTGATGGCAATCAATACATGTATAAATAAGGCAATATACCAAAATTATAATTTTCTCTTGATTGTTATCAGGGATTTGGTGAACTCAAATATTTTTAATTTTAAAGATTAGCTTTCGGAAGTTTATTGTACATTCTTCAGGCCTTTACGAAAGGATACATTACTCATTTTAATTTTGGCCAATTTAACATTAAATATATATTCACTTGTTTTTGTGGTCCGCTTGACCAATTAATATCTTTCAATTAATCAAGGTTGGGTTTTGGCTTAACGTGCTTGGTCATTGAAGTTGTGCTTGAAAGAAGTTCATGATTGGAGTTGCCCCTCAGACCGACACGTCAGTAAAGTCTAGCGGGTCCGCCCAATGTCGAAAAGAGGTTCGAAGTCCGGAAATCCGAGGGAGTAAACTTACATTTGTCGAAGGAAAAGAGATAGAAGTAGACAATGCTGATTTCATTAAAAAATAATAAAAACCGTAATCCCCAAATATCCAGGCTTTACTTGTGAGATACCTTTCTGTCCGTTTAAACTTAAACATTGTACATTTGACAATAAATTAAGGTTTTTAGTTGAGATAAAAAAGTCAGTGTCACGAGCGGGATTCGAACCAACTATCTTCGGCTAGGTACGCAGCTGCTCTACCACTTGAGCTATCGTGACCTTGATCCACTCGGACACTAACTGCCATCTCAACCCCACCTATTGAATTTTCCCTCAACTTAAACTTTTTATCTCAACTAAAAACCTTAATTAATTGAAAGATGTTAATTGGTCATGCGGACTACGAAAACTAGTGAATTTAATAATTTAAAATGAAGTATGCCTTCACTAAAGCTCTCCGTGGCCATTTCTTTTGTCGCCGAGTATCAATTAGATTACGCGACATTTGAAAAATGGCAAAAAGGAGGAAAAATTCAAAGGTGGGGTTGAGATGGGAAGTTAGTGTCCTAGTGGATCGAAGTCACGATAGCTCAAGTGGTACAGCAGTGGCGTATTTAGCCGAAGATCGTGAGTTCGAATCCCGCTCTTGACACTAACTTTTTTTCTCAACCAAAACCTTAATTAATTCAAAAAAATTAATTTGTTCAAGCGAACCACGAAACCTAATAAAATGTAATAAGCAAAATGAAGTATACTTCACTAAAGCTCTCCGTGGCCATTTCCTTTGAATGGCAAAAAGGAGGGAAAATTCGAAAGGTTGAGGTGGGAAGTTAGTGTCCGTGCGGATCGAAGTCACGATAGCTCAAGTGGTAGAGAAGCGGCGTATTTAGCCGAAGATCGTGGGTTCGAATCCCGCTCGTAACACTGATTTTTTTATCTCAACCAAAACCTTAATTAATTGAAAAGAAATTAAATATATATAAGAACATGACACACCTTATTGTACTTACTGGCTTTTAGTCAGAAATACATAAAATTTGATTATTTTATTTTAATGTTAACACTGAAAGCCTTTCCACTTTTTTCTTCACCTAGTATAATTATTTCATAGTTGAAAAGGTGAAGAAAAAAGTAACTCATACGACATATAATTTTGTTTTCCTTGATTTTTTTCTATAAGACTATTTCAAAGCTCTGATCAGCTTTAATAGTTTTATAACCGATCTCTAATTAAAGCTGAAGAGAATCCTGTCTGGGCTTCAAAGTGTTATAAAGAAAAAACATTAATAATAAATTTTTATGCTCTACGGATTCACTACACACAGCCCCACACATATGATATACCAAGGAACTCAAAAATTTTAAACTATGATTTTTTCTTTAAAATTTAATTACTATGTGATTTTGTCATTACTAATCGGCAGATTCGGCTGAATTTGTCAAAACTCATCTGACAGACAGAAATCTAATTTCACGTCTCCTAATTTCACAATATATCTAATTCTTCCATTTTTTTTTTGAAAAACTGACTAATATATATTCTTTATTTTCAGTTATTTTGCCTATAAATATGACAGAAGAATCTTTTTTTGATAATCAAATTGTACCTCAAGTGGACACGAACAAAGAAGTCCCTCTTCAACGCGATGCCGTACATACGACACCGAGTAAAGAAGAACCAAAAAAGTCAGGTAAAGGTTCTAGACCATTTTTTTAGTAAACTTTGAATATCTATATTATTTTTGTCCGCAGTAGGAATCAGTGGGATAAACATAGGAAGTCCTAAAGAACCTGAATCAAGGCATCTCATCGGGCTTCTGATTATAGCTCTCGCTACTGTCATTCTGCTCCTTCTCGTTGCCATCGTTTTCATTGTTGTACGAACTAGGAAGGTGAAGACTTCACAAAATTCAACTTCTGACAATTTCCAGACAGAAAAAAATGTCAGTTTAGGTTACAAAGCATATTTCACAGTCAATGTCTACTGCTTATGTCATAATCGATGTGTCGAGCTGTTTATATTTTCTTTTAGAATAATTTTTATTTTAAATTTTAAATTAACACATGGACTTTGATGAGTAGACAGTGAGTGTTAAGTATCTAACAAAGCCCCCTGTCTAGGAACTGCAGATGCGTGGTAAGATGAATTCTAACGGACATGTCTATGGCCAGGTTTCGAGGGATGAACCGGAGAAGAGCATCTTGTTCCACAAGCCTTTGCCGAACCACATCAACATGTATGGGTTCCAATCGACTCAACCGACAGGAGTTGAAAACACCGACTATTCTGGTAAATAAAACTCAACAATCACAGTTACAAACAACGTACTAATATTTGTTTCAGAAGTTCCAGATATCGTTCAAGAGTATGCCATCCCATTGGTGAACACCCAAAAACCACCCACGGCATTTCATACCAACGTACCACCGATGACTCCTATCAGGACGCTTCCGCCAATACATAATTTCTTCCCAAAACCACCACCTGTACCTCCACCGCCTGAAAAATATTACGCTGCAACTGAAATCGTACAGGTAATCCAATGAATTGCTCAAGTTATTTTAATAAATTGCACAGACTTCTCTTTCTTTCGTATTCTGGGATATCTCGTTTTATTAATCATCGTACAGTCTTTATGCAGGGAAAAACAGTCGGGCTGGGTCATTGGTCTTGAAGGTGGTGGATTGCTTATAGAACTCTTCTCATGACTAAAGCTGGGCGCACACAAGGCTGGTAGGGCGACACGACGCGGCGCGGTTTGAAACCGGAGGAAGTTGCCAGACTTCTGGAACCCGGCTCCGCACCCCGCTACCGACCCAGTGTGCGCCTGGGTGGTTGGAAATCTTTAAGTTCGGGTATATTCGGCTGCCCTCGGACGCCATATTTGTTAAGACGAAGCCAATGATTGTGACATGAGAACTCCTGGAAATGCAAAATCAATCCCATCAGCCCCGTCAGACAGAGGGGGAAAATTCGACCAACGCGGCCGAGAGCAGTTTTTACATAGTGTGCGGACCTTCACAATTCCGCGTCGCGCTGCCCCACCGATCTAATGTGCACCCAGCTTAATTCCTCGCAAATGTTTAGCCTCTCGACTCGGAATCTGAAGACATAGAGAGGAGTACAGTCCCACAGGGTTGTATCCTTAGTCCCATCCTATTCCACTTATACGGCTGACCTCCCGACACAGGGATTCATTCATATTTTTGCAGGTGGTACTGCTATCCAAACACATAAAATTTCACAAATCCTTTTCATTACACCCTATACTTTAATTCGGAGCTCACTTGATTAACCAAAACCCCCACTACTCCTTCTAAGGTAGTGGGGGTTTTGGTTAATCAAGTGAGCTCCGAATTAAAGTATAGGGTGTAATGAAAAGGATTTGTGTAATTTTATGTGTTTGGATAGCAGTACCACCTGCAAAAATATGAATGAATCCCTGTGTCGGGAGGTCACCGTATAATTGGAATAGGATGGGACTAAGGACACAACCCTGTGGGACTGTACTCCTCTCTACGTCTTCAGATTCCGAGTTGAGAGGGTAAATCTTTGCGAGGAATTAAGCTGGGCGCACACTAGGTCGGTGGGGCACAGCCGGGTTCAGTTTTGCCATTGACGTGGTTTTTGGAACGGCGTTGCTCCGTTTGGACTTCTTGGAGCGATCGTGAATGGCCACCTTCAGGCAGTGACAGAAAGAATCTACTAAAAGTGTCACCCTGGTGGATTCTTCGCATCCTTTTGCCAGATTGTTTTTATTTTATTTTAAATTTTACATATAAATGATTTTACCTGTGGTAAATTAAAATAAAAATTCATTATTTAATCCAACTTGTATTTATATTTTGTACAGAATGCTCCACCAATTCCACTTTCACCTCCTACATCGCTTCCTCCTTCCATTGGAGCTTGCAGCTCTGCATCATCATACGGGCATCTAATGAATCCTCCAAGTCTTGAAGAAGAGTTGGCTAACGATTATGAAATTAGAGATATACCGAGGAAGGACATGAAATTCAATTCCAAACTTGGTGAAGGATATTTTGGAGAGGTAATTTAAAATAATCTTTCTTAACTTTATTTAATAACTTTATGTCTCTTTATTCCAGGTGTATTTATTTGAGTTGATTAGGGTTCCTAATTCTATTCGGTTGAATTCGTGTAAATACGTTGCAGTTAAAGCACTTCGGAAAGACGCACCAAATAATTTAAGGTGATTTATCAAAATTTTATTTCTCTACAAATTTTTTTAACAAGAATAATTGATTATTAGGGATGAATTTGAAAGAGAGATGGAAGACTTGTTAGCACTGAACAATGAAAATATCATAAATGTGCTCGGTGCATGCATGGAAAAAGAGCCGCATTTACTTGTCTTGGAGTATTCTGAGCAGGGGGACCTTTACCAATTTTTACAAAACCATATTTCTGAGAGCGCCAGCTTGCAGACAAACGCAAATGTTTTAAGGTGTGTCAATAATTTATTTTCAATTTTATCAAGCAAGGGATTTAATTTTCTCATGTTAATTTTTAGCCACGGAAGCTTAATATATATGGGTGCACAGGTCGCGTCTGGTATGAAATACTTAGAACAAAACAACTTCGTATTTAAAGATCTTGCCACAAGGTAAACAAACTTTCTCGAAATGAATCAATTCAATGATTAAATTCTCATTTTTTCCCAGAAATTGCATAGTCGGATTGGATTATTCGATAAAAGTCGGCGATCTAGGCATAGGGAGGAACATATACCCGGCCGATTATTTTGAAATACCCGGAAGGGGTTTTTGTCCCGTCAGATGGATGTCCTGGGAAAGCATTATCCTGGTAAATAAAGATGTAAACCATTTATATACCTAATTATTCGACTTTTTGGTTTTAAGGACAAGTACACGATCAAAAGTGTCGTGTGGTCGTTTGCCGTAACACTTTGGGAAATATTGACATTCGCTCGTGAACAACCCTTTGAAGATCTGACTGACGATAAAGTCGTTGAAAACGCCCAGTGTTTTGAATTGGGTAACGGAAAGCAGGTAAGATGATTTCTACTTGTTTAATTAATTTAAAAAAATCCTGTTTACCTGTTTATTAAATGCTCCAAGACATCTGGCATATGGTCTGACATGAAAATTTACGTGTTTCCCTAAACAATGAAACTTCCAGACCTTTCCCAATTGCCGCCGGAGTTCCCCAAGGTTCAATCCTAGGGCCATGCTTGTTTCTCCTTTTTATAAAAACACTCCCCTCACTGAGAAATTGCAAAATTGCGCTTTATGCGGATGACATAGCTGTCTATTGTTCATCCTGGAGGTCTAAGACAATACATGACAGCATCCCCAGGATTTGCAAGTTTTGTCAACGCTGGAAACTCAGGATTAATGTGCCCAAAACTGAGGCCATATTTTTCACAAAACGACGACCAATATTCAGGGAAACCATTTCCATTCATGGACAGAAAATCGAGTGGTGTGAGGGGGTAAAGTACTTGGGTTTAACTGTTTATGCGGGTTTCTGGACCGAAAACTTAACTTCTCTAGGCATATAAATGATGTTCCTTATTACGTCTCAAATGCTCCCCTCCACAACGCCCTTCAAATTCCTTATATCCAAAAATTTATTCCCCAAAAATTTACCAAGTTTCACAGAAAACTCTCCCACCATCCAAATAGTCTTGCCCTGTCCGATAGAACCCATCCCTACAACCCCATAAGGCATCTTAAGAGGAAATGGCCCCGCGACCTCCTTTCCGAGTAAACTGTAAAAAAAACATAAACAAAGTGAAGAGGGAGGATAACATTGATTATTTTCTCCCCTCAATGTAAATAGTTGTACATAAGTTCATGTATCCGCAAATTACATATTGTAAATAATAATTACAGATTGTAATAAAAAAAATAATTATTAAAAAATGATGTAGTTTGAAAGGTAAAATAACCATAAAAGCCTTTATTTCCGCTGATGGCCCGTGAGAGTGGAATGAGCTTTGAAAATAAACTAATTATTTATAAAGTAGTTATTAAACCTATGCTGCTGTATTGCCCAGCGAATCGAACATCCAAAAACTGCAAGTGGTCCAAAATGAATTTCTAAGGTTTATAACCTCACTACCTCGATACAGCAGAATTGACCTCCTACATGACAGACGGGAGTGGAGTATATTAAGTCCGAATTAAAGCGTCTGTCCAGGAATTTTTTTATGGCTCTCTCTCCTCCAGCAAGAACACTACTTGTAGGGATGTAGGAGTGTATGATGTAAACTTTCCAAGGAAAGTAGATAAATAGAAGGATTAGGCACAATACATAAATCTAGGATCTGTGATATATTTATTGTTTCCTCTACCAGAGCTGTGATACTATAAGACAATGTGATAATTCAATTACTAGTTTTTAAATTCACTAATTTCGTGGTCCGCTTGACCAAGTAATATATTACAATTAATTAAGGTTTTTAGTTGAGATAAAAAAGTCAATGACACGAGCGGGATTCGAACCCACGATCTTCGGCTAGATACGCCGCTGCTCTACCACTTGAGCTATCGTAACCTTGATCCACTCGGACACCAACTTCCTCTCTCAACCCCACCTCCTTTTTGCCATGTTTCAAATGTCGTGTAATCGGTTTCGATTCTCGACGACAATTGAAATGGCCACGGAGAGCTTTAGTGAAGTATACTTCATTTTAAATCATTAAATTCACTAATTTCGTGGTCCGCTTGACCAATTAATATATTACAATTAATTAAGGTTTTTAGTTGAGATAAAAAAAAATAGCTCAAGTGGTAGAGCAGCGGCGTATCTTGCCGAAGATCATGGGTTCGAATCCCGTTCCTGCCATTGACTTTTTTATCTCAACTAAAAACGTTAATTAATTGTATGTGAAAAATGTTTGATTTGTGGAATGTGATGTGATGATACATGCATGTTATCTATATTGAATTTGATTAAAATTGTTTGATGATTACCTGCCTTCAGAATGAATACGGCTTTTGTTACAATATCCTATATGGATTATAGGGACAAATGAACCAAAGCACGAAAATCAGATTATTTTGTTATTTTTATTATTTATTGTATAAACATTGTATTTATTAAACAAAACACCGTGTTTTTTTCAGATAACACTCAACCAGCCGATTAACTGCAACAAAGAAATTTATGATCTCATGTGCGAGTGTTGGCAGAGGAAAGAGTCAGTACGGCCATCTTTCAAAGAAATCCATATGTTCCTCCAGAGAAAGAATCTAGGGTACAAGCCCTGTCTGAAAAGCTGAACCGTGACTGTCGTTACAAATTGAATATGCTGAATTTTCCTTGAGTACGTTTATCAGTCCTTTGTTTTTAATACGAAGTAGACATCGAAAGCGTACATCTTCTAGGTAATTTCATTGTGATAAACGCAGTTGGCGCATGAATGGCCAAAACCGTTGTACTTGTAACAAAAAGGTTAAAACTAATGGACAATAAAGAAAGATTTCATTTTTTCACTACTGTAATTAGTTTAAGTTGAAATTGTCAAATCTAATCAAGACAATGCTTAATATTTAAATTTATAATGCAAATAATTAAAAAAGAGTATAATTGTTGCTTTAAAAACATGCAAACAATATAAAGCATTAATTCAACTATAGTAGGCCATGTTAAAAAATTATATTATCCTAAAATTCTGAAATTATAGACTATTGATTCTTTCATGTATCGGTAATGCGAGTTTTCTACCGCTTTCTTCACTTTTGAAGAGTTCTTTTTGATATAACTCGTTTACTAAATTGTTTAAAAAAGACTGCCAAAGATAAATTCTTTTTAAGTTATCTTGATTTAAATTTAAAAATGTATTTATTGCTTCTAATTCGTAAGGGTTCTAACATTGAAATTAAAATTATATGTTTGTATTTGACTGTGATTTATAGTAGGTAGTAAGAAATGTTCTAACAAAGATGTGTGAATGGGTTTAAAATTGATAACGAGTTTAGAAAAAAAATATATATTCAATAATAATGGAATTTTTATGTATTCATTTTTCAGCGTTTTGTAAAATAATAACAATGGCATTTTTATCCGTTTCAAAGGTGATAAATTTAAAAATACAGTTAAAAAAACGATAGACCAATAATTTTAATAATTTGTGCGAGTTCTTATTTTCATTATAGTTGAACTCATAACGAATCAAAATATAAGACTATTTTTTTATAGTTGCGTGGTTCTGGTCTGCCTATTGTTTTCTTCTGTCAGAACATTGTCACATTTCAAACATTTTCAGTAATTATATGAATTAACACGTCGAAATATCAAATAGGCAGGCCAGAATGACAAGTTCATCGCGAATAAAAAAATAATTTTAAAATTCTGTCGGAAAAAATGCATTCAGCTGTATTTTACGTTTCCTTTACATTGTTTTTGTTTTTCTGGAGTCAAATATTTGTCATTATTAGTTGAGGAGTCAACTAGGAAAGAGGCCATTCTATTTCATATTTGGCATTGTATTTCATGATTTCATGATATTTTGGCCTTCTTGGAACCATCTTCATGTGTATTTCTACGTAACAATGTTATAAATGTCTTCTTACTCCTTGGCTCCCCTGCTAATAATGAACAAAAAACAATTTCCTTTATGTATTCAACTTATTTGTGTTTTTGATGCTTATTTGATATTTTCAATTCGAATATAAAAAATAGTTTATCGTTCAATCGTTTATTTACTAAAACACTGTATAAAATGCTAAAACAAGAGAATTATTTCTTTTTTATATAAATTTCATTATAGTTGTTTCAAATAAAATGTTCTCATTCAGATATGTTTTATATGATTAATTTATTTTTATTAAATTAGTTTTTTGTCCATTGATAAAAATTGTTTGTAATTTTTTTTAAATTTTCAACGATATAGATGAATTGTCTTTGAAACCCAAATTTCGAGATTCATTTCTAAGCGAATATTTTGACATATCGAAACTACTTTGACCAACTGTAATTTTCATTTATAAAACAAAAAGATAGCTTAAATTGTAAATTACTTTATAAAATAAAAAAAATATTTTTTTGATGAGAAATACAAGGTTCGTTTGGATTTGTATCGAATTGAAATAAATTTTTTGGTTTATTGAAAGAGCACGTGTGTTTTACAGGTGTTTGTATTTATAGCAATAAGTAGATTCCGATTTATGTGTGGGCTGGGTTGAACCCATGCCGGATTTATGATTAAAATTATGTTTTAAATAGAAAAAAAGTCGTGTATTTAGTGCTGAAATTAGATTTATTTCTGGAAGCTACTCTTGAACCAAATTTTAATGACTGATATTTTTCACTCTGCTCCTTTTCCTCGTGTATATAACATTTCATTCTATTTTTCTTGTACAATGTAAGTATGGATTTGAATTGTAAAATATTTCAATAGATGTAAATATTTGGAAAAAAAATACATTTGTGGATCGATATAAAAACAAACCTATTCTAAATGTACGCATTTGAATTTTAAAAATGGATGCTATATGTTATTTTGTAGATTTTACAAAAAAAAATGTGAGTTCTATTATTCAAAAGTTCATTTCTGGATTTATTTTCTTTGAATATTTTTTCACCGTTATTCAACATAAATACTATGTAAATATTTACAATGGTATAAAGCTTTAATATTATGTTCTCTGTATGACTAAATTGTAAATAATGTAATTAGTTAACCACAATAGAGTAACGTATATTATGCACTGTGTGCAGAAATCTCTTGACAATACACAATTTTTGCAAATAATGTCAAATGAAATTGTTTATCGATTGGAACATTTTTGTTTAAATGTTTATTTATTTGTTTCTGTATTGTTGGGGTTCTAATATTATGCGAATCGATTTAAAAGATAAAATATAAAAGATTGAAATGTGATTTAGGTGAATTTTGTACAAGAATAAAAAGTATAACGTCAAAAGTGTTTTTATTTACAAACTTCTTGTGGCTTCTCATCCTGCAGCATTTTCAGACCATTCTGATGAAGACGAATTGTTATTTTTCCTTTACTGAACCAGACAGTAAAGGGACTTGATTTTTGATGATTAAGGAAGTGCAAAGACTTTTATCTTCCAATATTGATATTAACTGGAAAGAACTATCATCAGGGAAATGGTCTAGCTTACATTGGTTCGAAAGAAATTTTAGAGCTTTTTTTAAAGCACGAAACAAATCTAAATGATGCTGAGGTGTTCCCTAGGCTAATGTGTATGCGATTCAGTGTCTAATAATGATGATGATTTGCTTGAATGCTTGGAACTTCTCTCACTAGGAGTTGATCCTAATCCTACAGAATGGTATAGGACAAATGGACGTATTTTTGCTGTCAAACGTAATCAAGCCCAAATTAGTCCATAAGCTACTAGAAATCAGCAGCAGCGACAGTCAAAGACCTACTTCTAAGAAGAAGGATTGAGTCTATAGCACTGAACTAAGTAACTAGGAAGGTACAATAAGCTAGAGGACTGCAGTGCCTGGGGAGCGCAAACCCTGCTTCCTAGTCTCGTTTTTTTTACTATACCATACCATACTAGAAATCAACTCGATTAAAGAGACAAGCTGGACACCTAAATTTTGTGCAGTCAATTCTGGCAAAGCCCATATGGTGGTTAAAAGATGGACGGGCAAATTTGTCTTTATAGGATTGGAAAGAACGCTCACTGACTGATACTGCTTCATCTAAATACTACAAAGACATCACTGAGATTGTAACGCCGAAGGTTATTTTTTTGTGTCCTAGGCTTTGCATTCGAAGATGGATGGCAGTTTCGTCCTCCTTATTGCATATTCTGTAAATGAGATCATAGTTGACTATGCCCATGTCATGTAGCTGTTTTATCAGATGCCAGTGACCAGTTAAGTACCCGTAGAATTTATCCAATTTTTTTAATCCATTCTGCGATTGTAATTCTATATTTGCTTTTTGTTTTAAGGTATAGGTTCAGGGCTATGTGGTTTAGTGACTGGGAGTTTTGTGTTATTTCGTAGCGTCGAGACGATGAATCGAGGCCGAGACGTGTGCGTGGTGCCGTTGGCGGTGGTCTGTGCCCGAGTGCGTCCCTGAGGTCCGGGGGCGGTGAGTCGGTTGACCGAAGGTACTGGAGTGCAGGTATTAGCAGAAGGTCAGCAGTTGGCGTTTATAGCCAAGTCGGCGGTGTTTAGGAGGCGAGAATCAGTCTAATGCTGTGGGTACCCTTGCTGTTGTCAACAGTGTTCCATTACTGATTTGGAGGGGTTGACGAGTCTGCTGTCTTTATCCATTAGTGACGAGTGAAACGAGTCTGGTTTCAGTGGAGCAGTGCCCCTGGTTATATTCGGAAAGGCTCTACTCTGATTGGGTGCAGAGTGGAGGGCGAGAACATGGCATAAGTGGTAGTGGCATCTAGTGGTAACATGGTACTACAAGTGGCCACTACATATGGTCTTGCAGTCCTTCTGTGGCCAGTGTGTCTGACTTTGCGTTACCCAAAATTCCTTTGTGTCATGACACCCAAGATATCATCAGGTTGTTGCGTCAACATGTCATCAAGTGTTGGAGATTTTGGATGCATTCACGGACTAGTGTTGATCCTTGTGGTTGGCTAACCGATCTTATGAAGATTTTTTGCCAGTTCAACTCTTCTGAGATTTTCTATGGCGCAAATATTGTTGGCATGTATTTCTGCTTGAAAGACCGAAGTGTACTTCCCTAATGAGTTTGATTGCTCATTTTTTGACTTGTACATATCCAATCCTGTTGGTTCGGTTTAGTTGAGATGAAAAAAGTTAATGGCACGAGAGGGATTCGAACTCACGACCTTCGGCTAGATACGCCGCTGCTCTACCACCTGAGCTATCGTGACCTCGATCCACTCGGACATCAACTCCCCATCTCAACATTTGAAAAATGGCAAAAGGAGGGCAAACTCATAAGTTGGGGTTGAGATGGGGAGTTGATGTCCGAGTGGATCGAGGTCACGATAGCTCAGGTGGTAGACCAGCGGCGTATCTAGCCGAAGGTCGTGGGTTCGAATCCCTCTCGTTCCATTAACTTTTTTTCATCTCAACTAAAAATCTTAATTAATTGTTAATTTATTAAATTCACTAGTTTTCTTGGTCCGCTTGACTAATTTTATCTTTCAATTAATTAAAGTTTTTACTTGAGATATAGAAGGCAGTGTTACAGAGAATCTCAAGTGGTAGAGTAGCGGCGTATTACCCGAAGGTCGTGGGTTCGAATCCCTCTCGTGCCATTAACTTTTTTCAACTCAACTAAAAACCTTAATTAATGGTTAATTTATTAAATTCACTAGTTTTCTTGGTCCGCTTGACTAATTAATATCTTTCAATTAATTAAGGTTTTTAGTTGCGATATAGAAGGCAGTGTTACAGAGAATCTCAAGTGGTAGAGTAGCGGCGTATTACCCGAAGGTCGTGGGTTCGAAACCTTCTCGTGCCATTAACTTTTTTTCATCTCAACTAAAAACCTTAATT